TGTAACCGCCAGTTAAAGACTGTATACCAGCGTTAAACTTCTCGACATCTCTCTCTGCAGTTTTGGCAATGCTTACATGTTCCAATAACTACTCTCATAGTGGTTTACTGCACGGGGAAGTATGCCACAAATTCTTATTTCGCACAATTTAAATTTCTGCAGCAAATTCTCTTTCATGAATGTACATGACGTTAGGACATAACAAGAAACGTGTACATAGGCAAATAATATTTATCTTATTCATGCAGTAAACAAGCTTCTGGGCAAAATCTGTCGAAATGATTTGGTAAGAGTTTAGCACATTCATACAATTTTTTTTTATAGAAGAAATCAACAAGGATCATCCATTAGTACAGCAGCTGATACGTTCAACAGAATGGTTTCCCCAACATCTACAGGAGGCAGTATGTAGATATACTACAATATATTTAACAGGCAGATAGAAATTGTTATATCGATATTAGAACTAAGTAAATAATTTTAACGTTATTAGTACTAAGTAAACTATTTTGTCGTTGCTAGTACGCAAGTGAAAAATTTTGTCTAATTTTATGTGTCTGCATGTTCATACAATCCATGACCATACATTTACATAGATCACACACTCCAAACTCTGCTAACATTTGCGGTAATATATTTATACTTAAAATAATATCAAGTTGCATTCTTTCAAGAAAAGCAACAGATGCATCCTAAGACTGCCACCCCCAAGGGTGACTGGGGAATAGAAGTATGGTCGCCATTGGTCTTCCTCCGACCGGCAGTAAAACCCTTGCTAAAGTGGGGCGTCCGTTTTGGCTGTGCAGGATGTACAAATTTGCAGCCACGTCCGGTCAGAATGGGGACGTTAAATCCGATGCCTCGTGTAAAGAGAGTGCCACGCTCTTTGCACGTTAAGAACCCTTGCAACAACTCTTTGAGGGGTCCGTAGGTGACCTGTTGCAAGGCTAAATTTCTGTCCCTAGCCAATATACCCTCATTTCCCGTGGCAGTCTAAATTTCACCGACCTTAATCCCGGAAGCCCCTTTTACAGAACCTACCTATTGTATTTATTGTTAATTTGTTCTCGTCCTGAATATGCATGAAATATTTGCCACTGGACGTTAAGCAACCAACAATCAATCAATCAATCCTAAGACTGCCGACATGTCACCAAGAGAGTTGCTGATGTATTTTGGTTTTTGATTCGTGGTAATTAATTTCGAAAAAGATAATGACGTAAACAGTATTGTTAAATTTAGTTGCAAGTAGAAAAGTGTACTCATCCTTTGGAATTAACCTCATACCGCTGGACTTTTTATTTTTTTCTTAGTGTTCTTCTATTTTTTAGACAATATACCATCGACATCCGATGATAACATACTGTTGCATACGTTAACTATTTAAACAGAAAGGGTATGTGAAAGAATCATTTACCCTACAATATCAAAATATAATTATTTTGTGTTTGATTGACCATTACTACATAAAAACTATCTTATCTTTAAATTCTTAAATACAGGCATGGAATAAAACATAGTTTCAGAATAAATGACAACGGCAAACACATGCTATTGCCTATAAAAGTTCAATTACCGTTAAATCTTCAATCTCTGTTTTTAAAAGAAGTATTGTGTAACCTATGATAGCTGATATGAATTTCAATGAGGACATTATGTGCGAGTTGTCTCATATGCAATCATATGACCCTTTTTTTAAATTGAGACGGATGAACAGCAATAAAAGTGCTGTTCCTTTGCTTTTTTTTTGTGTGTATGTGTGTTTTATATTTTGATATGGCCTTACCTAAGAATTAAACGTTGTAGGACATTCTTGAGGCCAGAACTGATAAACTTGTCTGCCTTGTCATGTTTCTGCTTTTCGGTATGAACTGACGACATCTCTAGTCTTCAATGTGTAGGACTACCATGTTTTTTCTTTCATTTTCTGATAATCCTGGCAAAATGACTGACAACCCTGATACCAGGAAATCATTCAATACTACTTTACTAAGAATTACAAAGTAAAGATTTAACCTAGTAAAAAAGCCATTTCATTATATATTTTGCATAACATATTGTGTACGTAGTACATTCATGCCACAGTAAAAACTGGTAAGAAAAAACTTCTTTACTTTGTGTAAATAAAAAACTTGAAAATTTAAATACTGCTGGCTAGAACATTCTGCAAATCTTCCCCGTCTGCTGAAGAAAACAATATTACCTATTTTATATGCATGGTTTTGTTAAGTTTATATTAGTCCCCTACCGGCTAAGCTGAAGGGGACTTTTGGTTTGCTTGCTCTCTATCCGTCAGTCTATCTGTCAGTCCGGCAAATCAGTTTTCCACACTTTTTTCATAATGCTTAAATATATTGATTTGAACCCCCAAGGGTGAATGGGGAATAGAAATATGGTCACCATTGGTCTTCCTCCGACCGGCGGTAAAACCTTCGCTAAAGTGGGGCGTCCGTTTGGCTGTTTCACACGAGGCATCGGATTTAACGTCCCCATTCTGATCGGACGTGGCTGCAAATCAGTACATCCCGCACAGCCAAACGGACGCCCCACTTTAGCAAGTGTTTTACTGCAGGTCGGAGGAAGACCAACGGTGACCATACTTCTATTCCCCAGTCACCCTTGGGGTGTTCTCCCCAGTTTTGATGCCCATACCTGGGAGCTGAAGTAACTTTTGAAAACTACACGTGTTTATGTTTTACAACAACTGCTTCCCCTCAAAGTTTATTTATTACAAGAAATAAACAACAATAATAAATCAACACACTATTTTATTCTTATACAATATTTATTAATGTCAAAAATGTTCCTGGTAACCCGTCCTTCTGGTCTACGGTTACAGGAAGTAAACAATACAATAATATCCAAGTCACAAATGCTTCAGGCAACCCGTCCTTCTGGTCTGCGGTTACCGGCAGTAAACAAAACAAGAAGTAGACTTTTACCCTGTCCCTTCAGGGTACCAGGCCACCTATCGTCTGACAAACGACAAAAAACAAACACAATTGATCTGCAAACAACACGGGTTTTACCGCGCTTCAAAACCCCTGAAGTGTCATGTAATGATCTCTTCTGAAAAGATTACAAAACCGCAGGTCCAGATTGTTAAAGGCTTCCCCGAATCCTTTTCTGCGGGAAATCTTGTCCAAGCGAACGTCGCCTCAATTTGAAAATAACTCTCTACTGCTTACCACCCCGCAATTAAGTGCTCGCAGCGCCAATGTTGTGATTGCCGATATATATGAGCAATTTACCACGGGTCGCTGATAGCTTTATGAGTCTGGATGGTGTCGATTCTGTCTGGTTCAGATTACTTTTGACTGTCGTCTTGTGCAATTAAACCGGAAAGAGAGAGAGCATCATGGAATCGCTGCCCATATCCGGTAGGGTCTGGCTTAATACCAACGGGGAATGCCATAGTACCAAGACACTTTGTCATTTTGTTGTCGAGCCTGCGACTTTTGTCGCAGAAAGCTCGACATAGGTATAGCGATCCGGCGGCGGCGGCGGCGGCGTTAGCTAACTTCTTAAAAGCTTTATATTTTAGAAGGTGGAAGGTCTGGATGCTTCATACTTTGTATATGGATGCCTCATGTTACGAAGTTTCCGTCAGTCACATGTCCAATGTCCTTGACCTCATTTTCATGGTTCAGTGACTACTTGAAAAAAAAGTTAAGATTTTTTGTAATGTTAGATTCTCTCTTATTATAAGTAATAAGATAACTATATTTGGTATGTGCGTACCTTGCAAGGTCCTCATGCCCGTCAGACAGTTTTCACTTGACCTCGACCTCATTTCATGGATCAGTGAACAAGGTTAAGTTTTGGTGGTCAAGTCCATATCTCAGATACTATAAGCAATAGGTCTAGTATATTCGGTGTATGGAAGGACTGTAAGGTGTACATGTCCAACTGGCAGGTGTCATCTGACCTTGGCCTCATTTTCATGGTTCAGTGGTTATAGTTAAGTTTTTGTGTTTTGGTCTGTATATCTTATACTGTATGCCATAGGTCTACTATATTTGGTGTATGGAATGATTGTAAGGTGTACATGTCTAGCGGGCAGGTGTCATCTGACCTTGACCTCATTTTCATGGTTCAGTGGTCAAAGTTAAGTTTTTGAGTTTTGGTCTTTTTTTCTAATACTATGTGCAATAGTTCAACTATATTTGGTATGTGCGTACCTTGCAAGGTCCTCATGCCCATCAGACAGTTTTCACTTGACCTCGACCTCATTTCATGGATCAATGAACAAGGTTAAGTTTTGGTGGTCAAGTCCATATCTCAGATACTATAAGCAATAGGTCTAGTATATTCGGTGTATGGAAGGACTGTAAGGTGTACATGTCCAACTGGCAGGTGTCATCTGACCTTGACCTCATTTTCATGGTTCAGTGGTTATAGTTAAGTTTTTGTGTTTTGGTCTGTTTTTCTTATACTGTATGCCATAGGTCTACTATATTTGGTGTATGGAATGATTGTAAGGTGTACATGTCTAGCGGGCAGGTGTCATCTGACCTTGACCTCATTTTCATGGTTCAGTGGTCAAAGTAAAGACCCCCAAGGGTGACTGGGGAATAGAAGTATGGTCACCATTGGTCTTCCTCCGACCGGCAGTAAAACCCGTGCTAAAGTGGGGCGTCCGTTTGGCTGTGCGGGATGTACAAATTTGCAGCCACGTCCGGTCAGAATGGGGACGTTAAATCCGATGCCTCGTGTAAAGAGAGTGCCACGCTCATTGCACGTTAAGAACCCTTGCAACAACTCCTTGAGGGGTCCGTAGGTGACCTGTTACAAGGCTAAATTTCTGTCCCTATCCAATATACCCTCATTTCCCGTGGTAGTCTAAATTTATCCGACCTTAATCCCTTAACCTATTACAGAACCTATCTATTGTATTTATTGTGAACTTGTTCCCGTCCTGAATATGCATGAAATATTTGCCACTGGACGTTAAGCAACCAACAATCAATCAATCAATCAATCAAAGTTAAGTTTTTGAGTTTTGGTCTTTTTTTCTTATACTGTATGCCATAGGTCTACTATATTTGGTGTATGGAATGATTGTAAGGTGTACATGTCTAGCGGGCAGGTGTCATCTGACCTTGACCTCATTTTCATGGTTCAGTGGTCAAAGTTGGAGTTTTTGAGTTTTGGTCTTTTTTTCTTATACTGTATGCCATAGGTCTACTATATTTGGTGTATGGAATGATTGTAAGGTGTACATGTCTAGCGGGCAGGTGTCATATGACCTTGACCTCATTTTCATGGTTCAGTGGTCAAAGTTAAGTTTTTGAGTTTTGGTCTTTTTTTCTAATACTATGTGCAATAGTTCAACTATATTTGGTATGTGCGTACCTTGCAAGGTCCTCATGCCCGTCAGACAGTTTTCACTTGACCTCGACCTCATTTCATGGATCAATGAACAAGGTTAAGTTTTGGTGGTCAAGTCCATATCTCAGATACTATAAGCAATAGGTCTAGTATATTCGGTGTATGGAAGGACTGTAAGGTGTACATGTCCAACTGGCAGGTGTCATCTGACCTTGACCTCATTTTCATGGTTCAGTGGTTATAGTTAAGTTTTTGTGTTTTGGTCTGTTTTTCTTATACTGTATGCCATAGGTCTACTATATTTGGTGTATGGAATGATTGTAAGGTGTACATGTCTAGCGGGCAGGTGTCATCTGACCTTGACCTCATTTTCATGGTTCAGTGGTCAAAGTTAAGTTTTTGAGTTTTGGTCTTTTTTTCTTATACTGTATGCCATAGGTCTACTATATTTGGTGTATGGAATGATTGTAAGGTGTACATGTCTAGCGGGCAGGTGTCATCTGACCTTGACCTCATTTTCATGGTTCAGTGGTCAAAGTTAAGTTTTTGAGTTTTGGTCTTTTTTTCTAATACTATGTGCAATAGTTCAACTATATTTGGTGTGTGCGTACCTTGCAAGGTCCTCATGCCCGTCAGACAGTTTTCACTTGACCTCGACCTCATTTCATGGATCAATGAACAAGGTTAAGTTTTGGTGGTCAAGTCCATATCTCAGATACTATAAGCAATAGGTCTAGTATATTCGGTGTATGGAAGGACTGTAAGGTGTACATGACACAATATCACACACCTATATCCCCCTCCAAAAAAAAAAAAATTTGACCCCCAAAAAATTACCCTCATTTCAAGTAAAAGAGCCCTAAATTTTCATAAAAAAAAAAGCAAAAAAAAACGCAAAAACACCAAAATTTTCTTACTCCCAAAAAAATTTTTTTTTTACTTTGGAAAAAACGTTATTAAAAACACCCAAAAAACAACAAAAAAATTCAAAAAAAAAAATAAATAAAAAAACCGGGAGAACAGGCGAAGAAAGAATTCTGTGGGATTTAAGAGAAAAAATAATTTCCCCAGTGCGCCCCAACCTTGATTTTTAATTAATTTTATCAATATAGTCTAGTAATAAAACGGATCAATACGACTACAACTTCAATTGCTTTTTACATTTGTGAAGTGTTATAAACTAAATCGATCATTGAAAATATTAACATGGTTGTCAAGAGTATGTTTACATGTGGCTAATACAACATTAGAAAAATATCTTACAACTAATTATGCATTATGGTTAGATTTACGTTCAACAGATGACAACTCATTACACGGTTCAGGTAGAAGAATTGAAAATGCTTCTGAAGGTATTACTATCCAAATAACTAAAACAGCAGGAGCAAATAAATTAATAAATGTTTATCTGTTTGTTATACAAGATGCACAAATTAATTTTGAAGATGGAAGATTTAAAGAAGTTAATTACTAGCGGTTCCCCTTAAAAAATGGAAACAAACGAGCGGAGCGAGATACACTCCGATTCCCTTTATGAATTACCAAAATATCCCCATTGTGCTATTATATGTGGACAAACAGGATGTGGAAAAACAGAGTTTGTTCTTGATTTATTAGAAGGAGAATATAGTGGAGTTTTCAAATATATAGTCATACTTTGTCCAACCATCCAATGGAACAAAGCATACAAAAATCGTGGGTGGATTGGTGATGTTAGAAAACCAAAAACAAAAAATCTAATAATTGTTAATCCTATTGTTGAAGTGAGAGAAGCGAACGGTTCCCTTTATGAAGAAGAGAAGCTACAAGAACTACTAAGAATGTTCTTTAAAAAATATGCTGGTCATCCAACATTATATATCATTGATGACTGCAGTGCAACAAAAGAACTAACAAAGAAAAAAGATATGCTGTCCGAGCTTGCATTTTCAGGAAGACATGCGGAACAATCAGTGTGGGTCATTTCACAGAGATACAACTCTGTTTTAAAAGATTTAAGAGAACAAACAAAATGGTTATGCATGTTCTACACAAAAGATAGAGATAGTTTTGATAATTGCCTAAGAGAAAATGATGTTATTCCTACTTTGGAAGAAAGACAAAGAATAAAGGAAGAACTTAAAAAAAAGAAACATCGTAAATTAATATTAAAGACAGATCAACCTACTGATTATTGGTTACTTAATTGATTTTTTTAGCAATTCTCAAGTAATGCTTAAGTAATGCTTAAGTAATGCTTAAGTAATTCTTAAGTAATTTAACCAAAATAAGTAATTCTTAAGTAATTTAACCAAAATAAGCAAAATAATGCTTAAGTAATTCTTAAGTAATTTAACCAAAATAAGTAATTCTTAAGTAATTTAACCAAAATAAGCAATAAAAAAAAGCAATGCTGTTGGAAATACTAACAATTGCAACAAACACTGCAGTCTTATCATTGGTTGGATATGTTGTATTTAATTTTTTTAAAGTTAAAAATAAATTATATCCGTTTTTTGAAACGTATAAAATGAATGCTGAAGAATTATTAAGCGAGCAAATTGTGGAAAACATAAATATTGATGATGAAGCGAGCGAAGTGAACGGTTCCCTTCAAGAAAAAAAACGCGAAAGATTATCATCCGTTGTTGCTGGTGGGAGTAGTAAACAATATCTGGGTAAAGAATTACAACTGTCAGATATTGATAAAATGACAACAGAACAAATAAACAAACTATACTGTAAATATGAAGCAAGATTGGGAGCTAGTATGACCAAGACATTAGGAAACTCTTTTATAAATTTATATGTCATGGGTGTATCAAAGTTTTTTAAAGTTGTTAATCCACCAATTTTAATACAAGACTTAGAGGAAGATCCTTTTATCAATAATGCTTTAACTAATACATGTTGTGAACTGTACTATAGATATGGAATGTATCTTGCTCCTTTTACTGCAATATTAACAACAGCAAGACATATTGAACCACTCGCTTCGCTCGATTTCCGAAAAAAAGATGAAAATAATGACATAAAAAATGATGAATGAAAATCCTGAACAAAAAGAAAACAAAGAAGAAAAAAAAGAAGTATTTAAAAAACCCAAACCAAAAGACCCAAAAAGAGTAGCTGCTGGTAAGAAAGGTGCAGAAGTAAGAATAAGAAATGCAGAATTGAGAAAAAAAGAAGTGGAAAAATTAAAAAAAGAAAATTCAAAAATCAAACAAATAACAAAAGATTCTGATACAGAAACAGATTATGAATCAAACGAACATATCCCTTCTGTCAAGAAACACTCCAGTTCCCTAGTTGATTACAAATTTGTACTTTTTCCTATAAGTATTGTTGGATTGGGATTGTTTTTTTACAACCAAAGTAAGAAACCAGAAAGAATGATTAAAGAAATAACAAAACCAGAAAAACAAAAGAAAGAAATTGATCCTTTTGAATTTAATTAAATTTAGTACATTAAAATGACAACTCAAAAAGACGGAAAACAAATAGCAAATATGTTATATCATGCTGGAGTGGAAACATTGTTAACAGTTGGATATGCAGAAATAGGTAAAAAGGTATTAAGGAGGCCAGCACCAAAAGTGGATTTTAATATGAATGATGTTGTAATGTTATCCATTGATATATTACTTGCGATAGCAACAAAAGATATGTTGATTAAGCAAGGTATTATACCTGCTGATATTATGAAGTAATTTTTGTTTTTATAAAATGGCAAGTGCTTTAACAATGATGCTTGGTGGGGCAATAACAAATGCTTTTGCATTTTCAGGGAGTAATTATTTATTTTCACATATGGGTAGTAATGCAAATGAAGAGAAAATAAGACATGATAAAGCTATAGAAAAATTAGAAAAAGCACAATCAGAATGGAATAAAAAAAGAATACAAAGATTAGATTTTATAAATGAACAATTACAAAAGGAACATCATGCGGTTCAGACTTTTGATGATGTTGACAAGGCAATGAAACTATACTATCGTGTCACGAATAAAAAATTAACTTCATTATCATCTAAACCTACATTAAGTGATTTTTATACTCCATCAGAAGACCAGAAAAATAGAGAGATTGCATTTGTTGTTGGTGGTATGACATTAACTGGTTTTATTGTTTGGAAATTAAAATAAAAAATAAATACAATTTACGTTTGTATGAAAAATTGGAAAAATAAGAAAAAATTGATAAAAATTAGAGTCCCTAATTTATGTACTTTTCCTGGTAAAAACAGCAAAATTGCAGAAAAAAGTATGTACTATTCCTGTACTTTTTCTGTTTTTAGGGGTATAGAAAAATAAAATAAATAAAAAAAAAATTCAATTTATTGTATTTCAGGACATGGTTTTTCAAAAACATATTCATAAACTTTATCTGGTCTAATAAAAGCATCCCAACCAGGAGGAAACTTAGATAACTTTTTACCTTCATACTTATCCATTACTTCCATTTGTTTTGAAGTTAAAGGACATTCTCCATCATCTCTTAAACAACATATCTGAAAATTTGATAATTTTATTTTGCCCAATATAACTTTAGCATGTGGATCATCTTTCTCAGTATAAGCTTCAATCATTTTTTAGTCTTCTATTTTTAAAATAAAATTTTAAATTATATATTTTTTAATATCCATAAGGAAAACTTCTAATTAGATTTTTATTTTCACAATATACCATTCTTTTATCAAACATATAATCATAAGCTTTAACTTGTTTAACTGTTTTAAGTTGATGATCTTTTCCTATTTTTATGTTGTCATATTTTACAGTTTCATATTTTTCATTTTCATCAGTAACTATTTTTATTTTTTTATCTAATGTAATCTTTTTTTCTACTTCAGCATTTAATCTAAAACCTTTACAACAGCTAACTAGTTTTTCTGTATCTAGTTTCATAGAATAATCTTTTGGACCAGCAGATATAAATTGTTTTATATGATTAGCAGTGTGTTTTGAAACAATTTCGTCTGTTAAATCTCCTAATTTATTTCCCATCATACTTTCTATTTTTTTACAAGCTTCAGAACCATCATCATTATAAATACAAGAATCTGTATCCATGTATAAAACTCTTTCTTGAAGAATATCCAATAGTTCGTATAATTTTAATCTAGCATGTGCTGTTGTAAACAAAGCTATATAAACATTTACACTTGGATTAGGTTTAGAGTATTCTTCTTTATTTTTATATTCTGTTAAAACAATATCTTCATCTAATAT